GGCCTTTACTGCCAAGTTGCTCTAATGGAGAGTTGTTTTTGAGTGATTCTGTGTAGTTGGAGGAAATGGCCTCAGCTATCTCCCACACTGACTACAAGTGAAAGAAGAGACATATTTGATGAAGCTAGTTCGAAGAACAATTTTGTCCATTATCGCTTCCCACCCAATTTCCTCTTCTTGCTCTGGAGGAGGAATGTCACGCTTGAGGTCTGGCACCTTCCCTGGTTGTATCCTTTCCTTGTGTCCCTGTCCTCCATGTTCCCCTCCCTGAGGTATCTCATTTTAGACCTCTGCCTTTCTCTTGTGTGAGGTAAGATGCACTCTAATAAAGGTCTCTTGTGCTACACATCACTGGCTTTCTTCCTGATTCCTTTTTTGCAAGACTTCCTCTAAGTCTTCCTCTCTGAGGCCATGAAGGCTTCTTTGCTCCAAACCAAGAAGAGAGGGAGAAGTCTGAGCCAGATTCTAGGCCTTCAGTGTTGCCTGCTTTTAAGGAACAAGTCTATTTTGTGATCTGTTTTAACTGAGACCTAGCATTCAGGCTGGGACTGAGTTGGAGACAGTTAATATCCAAAAAGCAAAATGAACATTACTGCAAAAAATTCTTAGCAGAAAAGCTTCTAACATTCCCTCTGTCTGTCCAGTCTCTTATGAATCTAAAAGTCATTTGAGGATGAGGTGGGAAATACTTATTAATAATGGAATAATTAGGAATAATTAAAATCAAGAGAGAAAAGACATAGTTGCTCTTACTAGTTCTATATACACAACTTTAGGACCAACAATTCATCCTTGGCGCTATAGACAGATAGAGAAAAGTCCCTTTAGTTTCCATTATTATCATTTTTCAATACCCTCAACAATTTTTTTCCCCTAGATCCAGTGCTTCAAATGGGCCTCATAATGATACTAAGAGAGTCTTTTAGACATAATGATCCTCTGAAGTTTCTCTGCAGCAGTTGCATCTGGGAATCTTCTCCTGAAATGATGTAACCTAGAGTTATTCTCTGCACCCGTGTATCACCCCAAAATTGGGTCTCTGGTTTTGGAGTCCAATGCTAAGGAAGAATTCCTATGCCTTATTTTCTGAGACTTCATTTCTCAATGTACTCTGCTTCCAGAGTTCAAAGAAGACTTACAAATATGTATACACACATACATACATACATACATACCTATATAGATACATCACAGCCCAACTTACATCTACATACATCCATTAGCTCTAAAAGGTATGCATGAAAAAGCATGTCCCTGCCCCTCGAAGAGCTTATACTGTAATAGAGAAAGGCAACACCTATAACCAGGGTGTTTGGTGGGTCCATGCTGCTCCAGAGTGACTGATGGCAAGAAGATGGCCTGGTCAAATGGCATGCTCTAATCTGGGGCTGGCTCTCACTAATCTGGACAGCATGGCCACAAGACCCAGAGTTCCAAAGATTGAGTAGCTTAGTTTCTCTAGGACTTCACCTTTGGAGGTTGTAACAAATGACAAGGTGGGTGGCAAGACAGCTAATGATCTGATCTGGGAATGGCCGTGAGACTGTAACCTATACTCACTCTATCTCATAATCTAGAGAGTCTCCAAGTTTGTCTGCTAACCTCACTTACTATTATTGTCTAGACTCAAAATGAGAATGGAAAAGGCCTGCACAGCTCCTCAGTGATCTCTGTCAAAGTCCGTTATCTAAAACCTTGATCTTGGTCTTATAATAGTTCTCTAATTAATTAATCAAACTCACTCTCGGAGAGGACCAAGTTTACACACTACCCATTAGGTACCAGACATACTGAGAAGCAGAATAACGTAGTGGGAAGAGTACTGAACTTGGAATAAGAAGAAGATCTGAGTTTTGTAGTTGTCTAATGCATAAATATGATATACCATGGTTATCTATGTTGCTACTAGAACGCAAGCTCCTTGAAGGCAGGGACAAAGTTTGATCTAAAGTCATAACTAACAAGAGGACTTATCTGGCTGAATTAAGCCATCCTAAAACCAAAGATATAAAAGTATTTACCAACTGTAAAACCAATCTCATTATTATTATTATTTTTTGCTAGTCTGGCAGACTTAGTTTAATATCCTCTTATTCAATGGTGCCACAGGAAACAGCAATGATTGTTCACATTCATTTAGTACTTCGAGGTTTAAAAAAGTCCCATCCACTCAACACCACTGTGAAGTAGGTCATACAAAGCATTATTCCCATTTCATAGAGGAAGAAACTGATACTCTGAGTGTTTAAGTGACTTGATCAGCCTCAAGAGCCACACATTTGAATGCTACTAAACTAACAAGCCAAAAGGTAGAATTCAAGTTGGAAACTTGCATCTTAAATGTGCTACTTTCACAATCTGGGCTAAGGAACAGGTCATGAAAGGGCAGCATGATACACTAGGAAGTATATTGCCCTTAGAATCAGAACACCTGAAATCTCTGTTATTTTTTGATGTAATCAGATTCTGGCTGACTCAAACACTTTCCTAAATTCTGTTCTGAATTCAGCTCTGAACCATAGAAACTTCTCTAACTGTATTCTCAAAAACAATTTAAAATCTAAACAGGAACATGGCCACTTTTGATGCTTATGAATACTAACTAACCAACCACTTTGACAACGAAATTCCCACTCAGGGGCCATCATCTTCAATTATCTCCACTCACTGTCTGTGACATCACATGATGTCACAATTAAACCTATGACTATGCCTATCTTAGATAAATCCTTATGGGTTATCCTACAGACTCATACTGGATCATGTAATCTCACATACATGCATTTGGTAATGAAGGATACAGGGAAGCATACCAATGACACAAGGATTGCTGTGTAATAATAAAGCTCTACTGGCCTGTGATGGAGAGGTATGAGTTCTTTCATGGGGCCCAAACACTTTTCCTTTAGGCTGAATTATTTACTAATAGCATCTGGCTGAGCATTTCATTTAGTTTCTGTTCTGAGGTAGGGTGAAGGCAAGGATTTTTCTCTCTTTTTGTCTACACTGATTGTTAGTGAAAATGACATTAGTGAATTTGGTCAAATGAATTTCATTCTTCTGGACTGATTTTTCGAGGTTTTTGTTTCATCATAGAGCTATATTTCAATTACAGGCAAGGCTTTACTCAAACTTGATCTATGAAAATTCATATTTATAAACCGCTAATGGGGGAGGGGTAATTGTTTGCTTTGTAAAAAGGCTGACGCTTGGACACTCAGAAACCTCTGCTTTAGTCAGACCAATCTTGAACTCTCTTTCAGTCCTCCCTCCCCCCCCCCAGGCCTACATTATTCTTTCTCTTTAACTCCTTTTGTACTTATTTTATGTATTGTACAATGTGGCATTTTTATGATATCAATCTGTAATATAATCCATAATGTATACTGTTTTAGCCACTCATTATTTCATGGGTACAACACTAGCTGGTTGGAATAAGAATTCTGAGCTCCAACTCTACCTCTTTCCCTCCCCCTGTATTTTACAATTAGAACTGAAGACAGACTCTGAGGGCATGCATATAAAGTTTCGTTGCTTAGAATATTGCTTCACTCTGGCTGCTAGCTTGTGAACCCTGAGAGTCTTAAATTAATTTCTCTTTAGGGCAAGTGGGTACTACAGTGGATAATACTAGACTTTACCTGGGTTTTAATACAGCAGATAGTTTTGAACTTGGAGTTAGGAATCTTTGGGCTTGAATACTCTTTCTGATACTTAATAACGTGTGACTATGGGATCAGTTTCTTAATCTCTCTGAACCTCAGTTTTCTCATCTATAAAATGAGCATAGGTATTTACTTAACAGAGTTGTTATGAAGTAACTAACATTTGCTTAGCTTAAATTTCTATATAAACATCAGCTATTGTTATTATGCCCACCCAGTGCAGAAAAAAAAAATTGTAAAGAGATAAATGGGAATTCCTTGCTACCCCACTATTCTCTTCAAGGAGAAAAATGTCTGGTGAACTTTCATTTCCCCCAAGTACAGAGACATGGAAATCCTGGAAAGAAAAGAGATCTGAGCTCTGGGTATGGCTAACTCCATTAGGTGGGGTACCTCAGTGGTCTCAGTTCAATTTAATAACCATTTTGTTGAGCTCCTACCACAAAATCACAGAATTTTAGTTGGAGGGGATCTTATTTACCTTCAACATGGTTTCTCAGTCTGAACTATGTTCTATGTTTTTAATATCAAAACATTGTACTGGGAATTGCTTTAGTCCTTTGTCCTTCTGACCTCAGTGAAGCTGATAGCTGCTCAATCTAGTTTGCAGAACTTTTGCCAAGAGCTAGAAAGAAAGGAGAAATAGGATGAAGGGAAAGGTCAGTTTTTAAATGTACATGTTAAGAAGTGTTCATGATCTTTGATACTAACAGTGCGCAAAGGTAAAGTGACTTGACAAGGTTTACACAGCTAATCAGTGACAGAGAGGCAAAGACAGTGGAAACAACGTCTCTTGACTTCCATTTCCTAATTTGCAAATGTCGGATGATCTCTGAGGTTCTCCATGATCTCAGAGCAGATGAGGGGGAAGCAAACAAATTGTAGAGAACTATGGCACCTCCTGGGGGCACATCTAGAAGTAGCTCAGCAGAAAGAGCCCAGAACGATGTGAATGAATGAATGAATGAATGAATGAATGAATGAATGAATGAAAGCTCTATTGTCCTGTGTGCCTTTGGGCAAGCCACTGAGCCTCAGCTTCCTACTCGATAAAAGAGGAAGGGGTTGTGTGCCTTGATAACCACTTAGGGCCTGCTCACTCACCCACCCAGTGCTAAAGCCCAGTAGTGCTGTAAGTCAGCATCTGCGATGCCCCCGCATTCCGTCTCTATGACACCCTCTTCCTCCTCCCCCTCCTCCTCCCCTGCTTCCCCTCTTCCGGCAGCTCCAGCTCTGACCACCTCCACCCTGCAGGGGGCGCAGCTCCGGGAGCCCCGGCGGCTGCGCGGCGCCTTCTCTCCGGCCGTCGGCCCCGCCCTCTGCA